AAATCCAGGGTACAGAACAGACCATTCATTTATAAATTTTACCATGAACATTGAAAGAAACACCAAAAGGAAAACCTATTGGAAATTTAACAACTCCTTGCTACAAGATCACAAGTATGTTGAACAAATAAAACAGGTAATATCTGATGTAAAGAAAGAATATGCTATACCAGTCTATAATCAGGATGCCATTGACCAAGTCCCTAATGATAACCTGCAATTCCAGATTAATGATCACCTTTTTATGGAAACTCTCCTCATGAAAATTAGGGGCAAATCAATAGCCTATTCTTCATTTATAAAAAAACAAATGACTAATAAAGAAAATGACTTAACAGCAGAAATTGATGTACTAGAAAACAATTATGATGAAAATACTGCTAATGATCTAGAAACTAAAAAGATTGAATTGCAACAATTGCGGGAAAAAAGATTAGATGGTATATTAGTGAAATCAACGGCAAGATTGATAGATGAAGGTGAAACTATAAGTAAATATTTCTGTAATCTGGAAAGTAGAAACTATATCAGCAAAAATATGAAAGAAATAGAAACAATAGATGGAACTGTACTAAATGATACCAAGGATATTATACATGAAGCAACCAATTTCTATCAAAACCTGTATACTTCTAGAGATCACACGATTAATGATATAGACCTTGATGATTTACTTCTAGAATATGATGTTCCTAAACTTAAAACATCTGAATCTGATCTTATCGAAGGATGTATTACTAAGAATGAGTTGCTAGCAGCTCTTAAAAGATCCAAGAATAACAAAAGTCCAGGGTCAGATGGTTTTTCATATGAATTTTTCAAAATGTTTTGGCTTGATCTGGGCGACTTCATACTTAGAACAATTAATTATAGCTATGAAACTGGAAACTTGTCAATCACCCAGAAGCAAGGCATCATCACCTGTATCCCCCAAAAAGATAAACCGAGACAACTCATAAAAAATAGGCACCCGATTACCCAGTTAAACTCCATATATAAACTTTTATCTTCTGTGATTGCAGATAGATTTAAAAAAGTATTGCCTCAGATAATCAGTGAAGACCAAACTGGTTTCATGTCTGGAAGATATATCGGAGACAACATCCGCCTGATATATGATCTACTCTTATACACAGAATCTAAACAAATGCCAGGTATGCTACTTCTAGTTGATTTTGAGAAAGCATTTGACTCTGTCTCCTGGTCTTTCATCTTTAAAACCCTGAATTTTTTTGGATTTGGCGAAAGTATTTCTAAATGGATATCTATACTCTATAAAGATATCAGGTCTAGCCTAATTATAAATGGAAATATGTCACCTTGGATACCAGTCGGCCGTGGCTGTAGGCAGGGGGATCCATTATCTCCTTATATGTTTCTGCTTTGTGCAGAAATTCTCGCAATTCTTGTGAAAAAAATAAAGATATTCAGGGCTTAACTATAAACGGTAAAGATTATTTAATTGCGCAATATGCAGATGGTATAGAATTTCTTTTGGACGGTTCTAAGAGATCCTTCTAGGCTACCATAGACACTCTTGATATCTTTGCAAATATCTCCGGATTAAGAATAAATTTTGATAAAACTCAAATAATCTGTATAGGCTCCAAGAAGAATAGTAATATCAAATTTAGACAAGACTTAAACCTTGAATGGAACCCTGAAACCTTTAGAATTCTAGGCATAATTTTTTCTAATAATCGAGATAAAATGATTAAACTTAACCTCGAAAGCAAAATCTTTGAAATTGAACAAACCATCAAGAGATGGATGAAAAGAATTATAACCCCATTAGGCAAAATGCAATTATCAAATCAATGCTCATTTCAAAACTTAATTTCCTGTTCCTTACCCTTCCTAGTCCCCCAGATGAATTCCTTAGAAAGATAAATACTATTCTTTTCAAGTTTTTATGGGATAATAAACCAGACAAAATAAAGAGAACAGTTGCTTGTAAACCTATTTCTCTTGGAGGACTTGGTATGATAGATATTTTTGCATATGTTGACGCTTTAAAAATAATCTGGATAAAAAAGTTACTAAATGTTGATTTGGAAAAGAAATGGAAAATTTTAATGACTAATACTACTCCTGAATTTCCTGATTTACTATTTATGGGAAGTGATTTTCCACTTAAGCTTGCTAAAAAAACCAAAAAACAATTTTGGAAAGATTGTTTTACTGCCTTTTCTAAATATAGCAATAAAATAAAACCCAATAATTATGAAGAGTTCCTAAGGGAACCTCTGCTATACAATAAAAATATTATTATAAATGGCAAATCATTAGATAACAAAACCTTTCATCTCAATAATATACACAGCATACATTGCTTGCTAAACAATGATGGAAATTTTATGACATTGCAACAATTCTGTAATAAATACTTCAATATAAATTTTCTTGCAATTTTATGGTATTACAAGATCAGTAAATACATACATGATACAATTAGGCATTAATAAAGACCTGCATCTGGAAACAACAAACAATACAAATATATCTATTGCCAATCTCTTTTCATGTAAAAAAGGCTCAAAGAAATATTACTATGTAATAAGTCAAACCGATGAAAGCTTAAAAGTTATTGACAAGTGGGAAGAGGAACTTTTAATGGATATGAACTGGCCTAACTTATTTATCAGAGCACACAAAACTACTCAAGACCCTAAACTTAGATGGTTTCAGCTTAGATTGCTCCATAGAATTCTACCTGTTCATACTTATCTACTCAAGATGCATATTGTTGACAACTGTCTATGTACTTTCTGTAATGCCGAGCCAGAATCTATCCAACATCTGTTTTGGGACTGTAGGGTAAGCAAAAGTTTCTGGAAAAGATTTTCACAATGGATTGAATCCAAGTGTCCACATACTGGCAAGATAAATCTTACTTCAGATCTAATTCTTTTTGGCTTTTCAAAACATTTCCACACCGATGATATTTTTGATCTGATACTCTTATTATCCAAATTTCACATTTATAGATGCAAAAAGAAAAATTACCAACCAACCATTACACATTTCCAAAATGAGGTTAAATAGTATTACCAAATAGAAAAATATAGACACTTTGATAAAGCCAAACGGCTGAATTCTATACGAAATGGGCTCCTTATGAAAACCTTTTGAAAATATAAACATTTGCTATTCAAAAACTTTACTAAATATATATCCTGCATTCTGTCTTCATAAGTACTAAAGCTTCTAGTGAGTGTGAATGTGTGTATGGATGTGTGTGAATGATATGTATTTTCTTAAAAAAACCTGGTCATGTATTTTGACTCCTATCAAAACACGATGTACTTTTACCAGGAACAATAAAAAAAAACAAAATAAAAAACAAACAAACAGACAATCAAAACTCAAAGTATGTAGATACTGCCCCATTGCGGTGTCAAGTTATACCTTCCATGTATTGATACCCACTAGAGGGAAAGGGACATTATGGTGCCAGGATACAAGTGTGCTGTGACGTCCTGAAGGCGTTTGACGTCAACTTCAATAAAAAAACCTCCATGTGTGCGGACTGTTAAAATATCTTACTTAGTTCGTAAAGTAAGAGGTGAGGTGAGGTGAAATTGGGTTTAACGTCGCGTCCAAGATTATTGCACTTATATAGCGACGTGCATGCACGTGTATGTGTGTGTGTGGCTGCTTGTACTAGTCCGGACTGATGCCGATTTATAGTGCTAGCTCACTGAGATACCATGCCGCAGTTTAACATGAATACCCCACTCAGACACAGTATACTGACTCCGAGCCGACCAGTCCTTGTTTTAGCCCCTTAATGCCGAGCGCCAGACAGGGTAACAACAAGTACAATCTTTTGACGTCTTTTTGTATGACGCGGCCCGGGATCGAACCCCGGACCTTCCGCTCTCTGGGCGGACGCTCTACCACAAGACCACGGAGGCGGTGCTCGTAAAGTAAGAAAGAAACACTATTTCAAAACCTTTCAGCATACATGCCTACTTTCAATTAATCAGACATTATATCTAAACACTCCAATAATATCAAAAACAGCTATAAGTTGGAAAATGAGGCCAAATGTTGATGTCATATATCTGTGTAAAAAAAACATGAATCGAAGCTTGTGAATTGATTTTTTGTGTTGCTAAGATACTGTAGTTTTATGATATAATGAGAAGTAACAATTTGATTTTTCACCCATGAGGTCCCTTATCTCATGGTTGGTCACTTATCATAATTTTTTCCACATAAAAAAAGTAGATGAGTGAATGAGGTGAGGTATGGTAACCGTTCAAGATAAGCGTTACACAACTGACTCTTGTAATAGAGCGAAACCCCGCCAGTTCTGTACCCACGCCTTCACGTCTTTTTATGAGGAACATTTCTCCGTGGACTTGGGGACGGTCGGGTAGCCTAGTGGTTAAAGCGTTAACTCGTCACGCTAAAGACTAGGGCTCGATTCCCGACATAGGTACAATGTGTGAAAGCTCATTTCTGGTGTCCCCGCCGTGAACTTCCTGGAATATTGCTAAAAGCGGCGTAAAATCATACTCACTCACTATCGGTGGCCTTGATAAAGGAATCCATATAGTGTTAATCCGGATAGTTTCACTAGAATCTTTTTTTATCAGAAGATGATAACTCTCAAAATGCATTTGAAACTGACCATGTTTGCGTGTGAACCACACGTACATGTAATTACAAGACATAAACATTGATAACACGTTGTGGATGTGGGTGACCCACCTTTGAGTGAGTTACTAGCAATGCATTGTTTTGCTCCTCAATACTTAGTTTAATTGACAGCAGTACTGTCTCACACACAGGGACCTGCCATAGTTTAGTGCCGATTACGATCAGCAATCAGCAGGCCCGTGACGATCCGGGGTAGAATAGGTCTTCAGCAACCCATGCTTGCCGGAAAAGGCAACTATGCTTTTCGTAAGAGGCGACTAACGGGCTCGGGTGGTCAGGCTCTCTGACTTGGTTGATCCATGTCATCATATCCCAATTGCGTGGATCGATGCTCATGTTGTCAATCACTGGATTGTCTAGTCCAGACGCGATTATTTACTGACCGCCATCATATAGCTGGAATATTGCTGATTGCGGCGTTAAACAACAAACAAACAAACAAAGCAATCAGCAAAATGTCATATCAAGAACAGTCATCAACATAAGAACGAAGACGGAATCGAACGTCAACATCGTCCCTGTCATTCCTTCAACCCCCATAGTTCTGTATAATTAGGAACAGATGTTCCTCAACCTCCTCAAGAGAATTGTATTTATTAGGTTCCAGTCTTGGTGGAACCCATGGGTATGTGTCAGCAACATGCCTTTCCTGTAGAGCTACCTCATGTGAGTGCCCTCCTGTCCGAATAACTACACCATCTGTTCCCTGCCCAGCTAAGTCCTTGGGTTCTACCCCATGTTCCCCATGCCCACCAATGTCCTGGAGAGCTACCACGGGTGTTTCCTGCCAACAGAACTCCGCAAATACTACCCCTGGTGCTTCTTGTAAAGCCTTGTCACGGAGATCTACCCCATGTGCTCCTTGCAAAGCCTTGTCATGGAGATCTACCCCATGTGCTCCTTGTAAAGCCTTGTCATGCAGATCTACCCTGTGTGCTCCTTGCAAAGCCTTGTCATGGAGATCTACCCCATGTGCTCCTTGCAAAGCCTTGTCATGCAGATCTACCCTGTGTGCTCCTTGCAAAGCCTTGTCATGGAGATCTACCCCATGTGCTCCTTGCAAAGCCTTGTCATGGAGATCTACCCCATGTGCTCCTTGCAAAGCCTTGTCATGCAGATCTACCCTGTGTGCTCCTTGCAAAGCCTTGTCATGGAGATCTACCCCACGTGCTCCTCGCAAAGCGTTGTCATGCAGATCTATCCTAGGTGCTCCTGGCAAAGCCTTGTCATGGAGATCTCCACTACGTGCTCCTCGCAAAGCGTTGTCATGGAGATCTCCCATATGTGCTCCTTGTAAAGCCTTGTCATGGAGATCTACCCCATGTGCTCCTTGTAAAGCCTTGTCATGGAGATCTACCCAAAGTGCTCCTTGCAAAGCCTTGTCATGGAGATCTACCCCACGTGCTCCTCGCAAAGCGTTGTCATGCAGATCTATCCTAGGTGCTCCTTGCAAAGCCTTGTCATGGAGATCTCCACTATGTTCTCCTTGCAATGCCTTGCCACGAAGTTCTACCACATGTGCTCCCTGTCCAGCCAGGTCAGGCTCACCTACACCATGCGCGTCCCCTTGAAACAGCTCCACGACCGAGTTGCTGGTCACTGTACATCTGAATCTACCACAGCACTGTGAAGCTTTCTCGATGGAAAACAGCAGATCCTTACCCTCTTGCCTCTCCACTAAACACTTCCTCGCACTGTCTTTCCCCGCCAGCTCTCCAAGCTCGTGTATACGACAAATGAGTTCGGACATGTGTCTAGGGATGTTAAACACGTGGTTGTTTTTGCACTGTATCACATGTTGTTCTTCCGTATAGTCCAGGCGCACCATGACGACCCTATCACTGTAGGATGCCAGGAGCTTCTGTATCATACAACCCAGATCAAAAGCAGTCCGGGAAAATGGCTCCTGGGAGTGCGATAAGCTGGATCGGTGCATGTTCCAGGACGTTAATACATTCTTTGAATTGACAAAAAGAACAACATGGGTATTTCCCAATTGGGTCGCTATGTCTTGGGAACGGTCGATTCGACGGACCCTGCAGTTGAACAACGTCTCCAGACATCTCGAGAGCGCCTCAACTGTTTCTGAATGACACTCACAATCTTCTGAGTACAACATGGAAATGTTCTTGGTTGTAGTGTTCTTCAGCTTGTTCCCTAAAGAAGGAAATACCTTGTTACGTATATGACTCGAGGTGTTACGGATACGTTCAAAATCTAGAATAAAGTATTGGTAAAGGTATAAAACCGAAGTGACAAAAGGTCATACCATTCACAAGGTCATATCACCCTAAAAATTACCAATAAAAAAATACCAATCAGGTCATATTACCCTAAACAACACCTCACAGAAACTGCCAAATCTTGAACCTCTGGACCGCCATTTGGAAAACATTTACAAAACTGAGATGGAAATTTAGATATCTGAATTTATTTGAATTTATTTGAATTTATGGTTTTGCTTGTTTTTGTTATATTTACAACACTTGATAAGCCTTGTTAAAGGTGTAAGTTCATATTTTGACTTGCACGATTATGTTTCCATGTTGGTTCAGGTGAACACGACCTGTGAAGATCCGGGGTAGAATAGGTCAGCAACCCATCTTGCCGTAACAGGCGACTATGCTAGTCGCAAGGGACGACTAACGGGATCGGGTGGTCAGGCTCGCTGACATGGTTGATGCATGTCATTCTATCTAAACTGCATGGATCGATGCTCATGATGTCAATCACTGGATTGTCTTGTTCAGACCCGATTATTTACAAACCGTATAGCTGTAATATTGCTGAGTGCGGCGTTAAATAACAAACAAACAAACAAATCAGGTGAACACTTGACTTGCCTTGTAATGTATGGATAAGTGAAATTCATTACAAATCGCGTGTGTTAGATATCAGGTATAAAACAAAGTACAGTTTACTCACAGAATTCCACATCAGACTCCGCGTCAAGGTTGGTGTTGTTTGCAGTGACGTGATGGAGGAGCTCGTAGTCAGCTGTGAGAACAATGGAGTCAGTGAGAGAAGGGATCAATATTTCTTATCATGGCTACCTGTAAATTGAACTGTCAATCCAAAATGATTGGCCAATCAAAAAGTCTAATATGAAACAGAATCGGCCGTTTTGTCACACAAGTTGAAACAATTTGTACATTTAACAAAATCATAGATTTATAGATATATTAGATTTTGTTTGTTGCGGGCTTGGTTAAAATGGTCAGTACTACATCTGCACCACCATTTTGACCAACCGATCCTCATGCCGTCTGCCTGTCAAGACAAATACCTTGGAATCTGCCTCCAAATACCAAAGAGGGAGGTGAACAGATTCATTGTGAATGAGTGACTGGGTGAGTTTGTCGCTACAGTAATATTCGACCCTTGACCAGGCTACGGCAGCAAAGGCAAAATGAATGACCCACGCCATCAGCTTACAGTGACGAGGGAGGTTTGCAGAGCGAGTGAGTGATTGAGTGAGTGAGTGGGTGGGTGGGTGTTTGGGTTGGTGGGTGGGTGTGTGAGTGAGTGACTGACTGACTGAGTATGGTTTTACGCCGCTTTTAGCAATATTCCAGCAATATCAAGACGGGGGACACCAGAAATGGGCTTCACACATTGTACCCATGTCGGGAATCGAACCCGGGTCTTCGGCTAGGCGCGCGAACGCTTTAACCACTAGGCTACCCGACCGCCCCTGGGTGAGTGAGTGAGTGAGTGAGTGAGTGAGTGAGTGAGTGAGTGAGTGAGTGAGTTTGACGCTAACGTATGTCACCGATTCCTTGATCAGACAACTGGACAAAACAGTGATTGGAAGCAATGGGAAGGACCCACCCCATAGGAGTTCGATGACCTGCATTCTCAGCCTGATGACCAGATCTTCGTTAATCATCTCGTATGACAACCAAGAGGTCACGGGTACCAATACAGACCCGCACTCCTTACGGAGTCGATATCTTGTGCGTAAAGTTATCCTACTATATAGTTCTGACCTTTCAACATCAGGACGAGGTTTATGTTTTGACTTAGTCCTTAGTCTTCTAATTGGGACATCTTGGCATTGGGACAAAAACAGAGCTTGTGTTATTAGTGAATCGATTCGATTGGAGTAACGCTATTGTCGTTCATTAATTGTAGTAAAGTGTGCTTCGTAAATCATATCAACTGTCATTTCCGTGAACGAAATGAGAAACACAAAAACCATAACAATCCAATTGCATATATCATATTACCCTGTAACCTTTACCAATGTGATGATTGTACAGAGCTGTCGTTACAAATGAGAAATCGAATCTTCTCGAATCTTCGACTGCCCTGAGACTATCCAATAACAAGTACCTGCCAACTGCCGTCTAGACCAATATTTTCATCGAAGAAATGCCGTCGAAATGACAAGAATATATATTCAATTGTCAGACTGCATCCTCACAGGGGGACACTGATTGCAATCTCTGCCACTGTGAAGAAGGAGCCCACGGAGTCGCTGCCCATGATGCCGAGACGTGTGGGACGGGGCTAGATTTGTTTCTCACTTAATCTAATCCAATCTAACTCCATCAACGCGTCTCGCCTGATGCAGAATACATGACCGCTGTGTTTCTTTTGTGTAGGATGTGCATTAAACGCAGCACGGATGGCCTCGTGGTCAGAGGTACAACAGTTGGGGGAGTTGTGCCCCCTTGGCGAGGCTGGATGTGTCACCGGGACCTCGACTAACACTGATGATGATCCTTGGTGTGTCAGCATCATACCAGTGTTCGTAGTTAACGTCAACAACAGGTGTCAGTGGATTGTACATGCTTACACTTTTCGTCACTGATTTTCAGTGATCCATTTATATAATAGTCACCGCTATTTTGCCTTTTACGTTCAATAAAATCTGTTTAGTCGGATAATCTAGACCCGTGTAGACGTTTTATGGATATGTGCTCCGACATAAATAACAATATGATCGCCGAAATATGCCACACATAATGATACAATTGACGTTTAACCTCAAACCAACACCTCTTTTCTCAAGCAGATTGACCGCCTCCGTGGTCTAGTGGTGCGCCCACTAGCGGAAGTTCCGGGGTTCGACCCCGAGCCGCCTCATAACAAAAGACGTTAACAGACGGTACTAGTCGTTACCCTGTCTGGCGCTCAGAATTAAGGGGCTAAAACAAGGACTGGTCGGCTCGGGGTCAGTAAACTGTGTCAGAGTGGGGTATTCATGTTAAACTGCGACATGGTATCTCAGTAAGCTAGCACTATAAATCGGCATCAGTCCGGACTAGTACAAGCAGACACACACACACACACACACACACACACACACACACACACACACACACTGACAAACCTAGAGACGTAATCGTGGCGAACCGGGATTCGAACCAAATATCATAGGTTTCTGGCATGCACAAAGGACGCAACTCTGCAAAGCGAATTGCAACGTCTTAGACGACTGGGCCCCCCGTCTTCTTTCTGTAGATATGTTTATGAATCGTGCCTTACCATTTTTCGGTGTCGAGGAACGATATCGTCTCCGTCTATCGCGTTTCCAGATGAAAGCTATTCCTGCCACCAACCCAACGAGTGACGCCAGAACTGACCCCAGGATGACACCAAGCGTGTTCTTGCTCTTTTGTGTCGAAGCGCCACTGGTCTTGATTCCACAATTAGTAGTACAAGGCTTGTTCGATATAACTGATGCTGATGTATCAAGGAGTGAGAATGCCACAGGGTCACGTGGAGGGCATTGCAGAGCTGGTTTGAAAAATTAAAACAAATTATTACAACCAATATGTACATAGATATGCATTCATCAGATACAATATAATATGTAACCTGTCTCGACGGTAAGCCAAGCTATAAATAAACTTCTGACCATACATGACAAGGAATCAACGTCGAAATTCTCTCTTAGTATGTGGGTCCCGTTAGAAAACACACGTGTGGGTAGGGGTGTGGGTAGTTGTGGCGTTGTGTGGGTGGTGGGGCTGGGTAGGTCTCCAACTGGATCCATCTTCGGCTGTTGCTAATCCTTTTTCTTAGCTATATATAAGGCAATAGGTCTACAGCATTATGACGTCATACTTATGAAGCACAAACATTTGACATTTGGAGGTCCCATGTTTATGCGTAACCATGACTACTGGTAGTATAACTATACAGGCTTTCTTTTCTGATGTGGTATTAAAAAATGTTGCAATGCAGATAGCCGACCCCTATGATTTAACCTCCATTAAGGGGCATGGGTGGCCCAGTCATCTAAGGTGCCGCAATTCGCTGTGCAGAGTTGCGTCCCTTGGGCGCACCAGTATCCTATGAGTGTGGGTTCGAATCCCGGTTCACCCCGATTATGTTTCCAGGTTTGTCAGCACCATACCCGTGCTCGTGGGTTTCACCGAAGTGATAAACGTCTGAGAGCTGCATCACTTCGGGCTTTACTCCCACATTAAGCTGACACGCCGTGATATAACTGGAATAATGTTAAAAGCGGCGTTAAACCCAACTCACTCACTCACCTCCATTAGTCTAGAAAAAGTTCACATCTGTACAACTTGGGTGTAAAACGGGTCTACAGACAATTCTACACTTGCATCCTGATATTACCTGGTACAAAGCGATGAATTCTGTAAACCTGCCTGTTGGTATTAGGCACAGGGATGATCTACAATCAAAAGATAAAAGTACGATCGCTTTAATCATTGTGCTTCCTGGTAACAATATAATATTTAACGTTTAACACTTAACACAACTAATCTGCTACAGTGAATACAATCAACCGGCTGCTGGCCACACGTCGACTTACCTTTATTCGATATGTTGCACAGGTTTTACTAAACTGGAATATTCCTGTAATCGTTCCCTGTAACAAAGACTATGAATGAAGTTAAATGTCACAAGTGATATTGTTTTAAAAGAATATCTAAAAATATAGTCTCCGTAATTACTCGTTTGCATTTTTGGGCCAGACATGTTATCGATATTTATTTCTGTGATTTATTGCGGGGAGGACCGCTTCCGTGGTCTAGTGGTAGAGCGTCCCCAGCCGCGTCATACCAAAAGACGTTAAAAGATGGTACTTGTTGTTACCCTGTCTGGCGCTTGGACGCGACCTTAAAACCCATTTCATCTTTCACGTCACCTATTGCGGAGAAACAGTTCCCATAAGAACTTGTGTTGTTCCTTTTGGTAGATGCACGAGGAAAAAGTGAGGTATTTAACATTTCAAATAACATGATAGAAAGACTTGTCGTTTGTCAAAGGAAATTACCGAAAGTACGTTAGAGCAAGAATTAAACTGTATTGGGTTTTTCAGCAACAAAAAATGACAACAAAATATTCACCTTTCTCAGTGTGCGAAACTTGCTACATTGATACCCCGATTGTTTCGGAAGCTGCGTGGTTGTCTCACAAACTTGCACCATGTGTCGGGTTGCATTTGGGAGAGGGTGGAAGCTTAGCTGGATGCTGTTGTTGCTAGGCAACGCCATGGACAGAAGATAGTTCCAGTAGGCAGTGGTAAACTGAAGGGTGTCTGATTCACCAGGAAAACACACGTTCATGAGATGAAAACGTTCGCTGAGATAGATATATGTCGATACCAAATTCACCAAAATTATAATAAAATCGAAATCTCGACAACTCATTTAGTTTGTGCAACATTTTCGGTAATAAATAAAATCGTTTTTCAATAGGAAATTTACTTCACATTAATAAATACTTCAAACAGCTCATTTCAATATTCTCTATTCCTGTGACCTGTTTTTATCTCCGCCTCGGCCTCTGGTTTTGAATAATTTTTATGTCACTAAATAGAAAGAATAATTGTATATGGGAACACGATTGTCCTACGGCGCCGCAATTCGCGGTGGAAAGCTAAATCCCTTAGGCGTGCGAGAGGCCAATGATTGTGGGTTCGAATCCCGAATCGCCCAGAATTATGTGTCTACGTTCGTAGGCATGATACTCGTGTTCGTGGGGTTCACCAACGTGGTAAATATCTAAGACCTTCGGACTTTCCTCCCACGTCAAGCTGAAACGTCGTGATGTAACTGAAATACTGTTCAAAGCGGCGTTTAACCAAAACACTCACTAATTTACACTTACCTGTGGCATAAAAGGTGACCTTTGCTTGTCTGAGGAAGCATGGTTCCCTGTCCCCTAGCCACGTGTTGACGTAGACAGTGACGTCTTTACTGTTACGGAACGTCGATGACGTCACTCGGAACTCAACCTGTAAGAGACATGTATAGTGACTTCATTAAACTTAGGTGGCGAAGGGTTAACTCACCAGGGGCGTCTGATATGGCCGATGTTAGCTTCAATATTATGAGTTACATGTGTCACTAGTGTGTTGCGACCCGTGACGATCCGGCGTAGGAAAGCCTTCAGCAACCCCTGTTTGCCATAAAAGGCGACTATGCTTGTCGTAAGAGGCGACTAACGGGATCGGGTGGTCAGACTCGCTGACTTGGTTGATGCATGTCATCGTGTCCCTTTTACGGCAAGCATGGGTAGCTGAAGACCTATTCTACCCCGGATCTTCACATAGCTGGATCCTTTTACGTGTAATGATTATATCACGGATATGTACTGACCTTGGTGATCTGGCTGGAGTCGGTGACGTTGACGACAAACATACAGGGGAACGGCAGGTTTCCGTTTTCCGGATTTCGATTGTCCCAGGTTATTAGATAAACCTCATATACGCTAATAGCAACTGGGGATTGACAAAGAGAATTATTATTAAGTCATCATATTCCTTTTTGTAAACCCCTAATTGAGGAACGGATTCATAATCTATTTCCTGGTATTGAGCAATAGAAAGTAAAACGTCAACTTATCACTCTCCATTATAGGCCGATGCAGATTCAATCGGGCGTGAAAGGAAACATAACGGTGACAATTATATGGATGGATCACTGAAACTTGAAACTGAAAAGGTAAACTGTATTATCTTAGGACATTAATCATTATCAAGATCTAGAGTAATATGTTTTCGCCAGTAATAGTACAACTAAACAGGGGCAAATAAAGTATACCGAGTGTATTTTATGTTAATAATTATTGAAAATTGAAAGAACTGTTGTTAAACTTGATTATGCCTATTTAACCATCACTCATTCCTGCAACCGTTTGTTCAAAAGCGGTTCAATGAAGACTTGGGTTGGGAATGAATTAGCAAACTCATGACCCCTACCATATTTAAAACGTAAATTTGTGCCGAAAAAAGCAAATTTATAGATTTTTAAAGATAATATGTCTACGATACTCATCAGTAGTTGATCTTTATGAAATTGTTTAATTTTAAAAGGGTAAGTTTTAAATCAAATTATATTTTTAAAAATATGACCATGTATAAGTCTTCTTTGGGTGCTGAATAAGCGCAAGGACAGTTAATTTTTTTGGATGTAATATCGCTAACTTAAGATATTTTCAACTGAAAATCAAACATATGAAAAAATCAACAGAGAGGTATAGTTTCTTGTGCTCATGAGTTTATATTACTTATTTGGTCATGGTGCTGATATTGAGGATCATAAGGAAAACCTAGGATCTGAACCCACGAACAGAGGATCCGTGCACGGCTAAGGGACGCAACTCTTGCATAATGAAACGTAGACCATTGTCCACTTTCTTTTCGCAATTGTGTTGTTGAAAGTGGGCGAGTTATCAGTGAACTGATGTTGTGTCTAACGAGTTGGATTAAAGAAGTTCACAATTGACAGGGGCGGTCGGGTAGCCCAGTGGTTATAGCGTTCGCTCGTCACGCCGAGGACCCGGGTTCGATTCCCGACATGGGTATAATATGTGAAGGCCCATTTCTGGTGTCCCCCGCCCTGAAATTGCTGGAATATTGCTAAAAGCGGCGTAAAACCATACTCACTCACTCACTCACTCACAATTGACAAACAGTTTTCAGCGGCTTACGTGCGTGTGTGCGCATGTGCAGAGCGTCAACTGAGAGGTGTAGGTTCCTTTGCCTTTCAGGTTATATCACAGCGGTGTGTAATAGTCCAATGTTGACAAGACAATCAGTTGTTGACTGCATAAGCAGCGTTCCACGATGCCCCCTAAATCCATCAGTTGCACAAAACCACCCAATCCCTATTGTCATCAGATCTTATTCAGTATTATGGCCATATGGCCTAAAGTACAATTGATACCAACTCATTATGTGATGTCACGTGCATATACAGAGATTACATCTTCTTGAATCTGATAGAAAAAAAAGCTTTATATAAGTAGCCACTGAAACGATAACATGTTTATTTTGTGAGTTGATAATATTGTTCATTTCAGATTTATAGTCAATATTCATGAAGGAGAGATATGTAGATCTCTTGGAATACTTGTTACACTTAAATACGACATGGGATCTGAGAACAAGCATGAGTTATTTGGGACACGCTCCGCCCCTGGATACCTTGAATTAAATATAAAACCCGAAAGGGTCCCTCTTATCTACCTTCGGGGGGCTTCCAGCTGATGACGAGGGTGGGGTCAGAGCGGGGGTCGGTGTTACTGACAAGCAGAGATAACCCCCTCACCGTCCCGGGGAGGTCACGCAGTGCACCGTCTGGGGGACAGAGGAGAGCAACTTAATAATAACATTATATCCAAATTTGTATATACACATCGAGACAGAAGAGACAGACATTGTATTTACGTGTTTGTTTGTTGTTTGACGACGCATTATTCCAGCTATATCACGTGAACAAAAGATTATAAAATCTTGTATTTGGTTCTCAAATATCATGTCGAGTGACGTGACATTCTGCAAAAAGTCACTCGTGGACTGTCAAAATGTCAACTTTGTCATGTCACTTAATGAGGTGAACATGTATTCCACAAGAAAATACGGGGCGGTCGGGTAGCCTAGTGGTTAAAGCATTCGCTCGTCACGCCCAAGACCCGGGTTCGATAACCGACATGGGTACAATGTGTGAAGCCCATTTCTGGTGTCCCCCGCCGTGACATTGCTGGAATATTGCTAAAAGCCGCGTAAAACATACTCACTCACTCACAAGAAAATACAAACGTTGTATTTTGTACGTTCTAAGTTATATTTATTTGTTGTTTAAAGCCGCACTCAACAATATTCCAGCTAAATGACATCGGCCTGCAAATAATCGAATCTGAGCCTGACAATCCAGTGATAGATATTACGAGCATCGATTCACACCGATAGGGCACGATGACACCCAATTGACCAATTGCAAGGCACTGAGTCTGACCACGCGACCCATAACATCGCAACGGACAGAGCCTGTGAACATGTTATGACGCCTTTCTCTATTGGGGTCACTTGATATCAGTTTATAACGGTGATAACATACATTAATATGATGAGAGGTTGTTACCTGGCAACTTCCTCTGCAAGACTCCTTCGTCGTACACAACGTTACAGTTGAAACCGAGAGGCTGAAATAACGCATGTCAGTTTGTGAGTCCACGTGTGCTAACCAGATCAAAGGATCATGAGAAAACACTTTCAGTTAATACATTTATCAATTAGGGATTAATGATGGTTGTTGATAAAATGAAAGCAAAAGAAAGAATACACCCAAGTTTGATTGTGGCTAAAATGAAACAAGAAATAGTTCTCGGACGGTGATGTATTTCATACTGGTATCATAGTTGTATTTTTGACTGTGTTGCAGCAGCGACTGTTTTCAGCCGTTTTGATTTTTGATTGTAATATTTTGGTCAAATACAAATTTTAAGTGTATACATTTTTTGTCCGGCGGTTTTTTTCTTCCTAGGTGTCACCATAACCAATCGACCGCAAACCACATCCAACATTGTGGCCCAATAAATGACGTGACGTGAATATGGTTTTACGCCATTTTTAGCAATATTCCAGCAATATCACAGCGGGTGACACCAGAAATGGGCTTCACACATTGTACCCATGTCGGGAATCGAACCCGGGTATTCGGCGTGACCCCACCCCAATAAATAAACTATTCAGATTAAAGGATAACATGTGTCTTCTTAACAAGCATTCCTCTTATGAAAAGTCTACCAATGAACAAATTTAATACATTACAACTTATATAGCCGGAATGATTTGTTTAGATTTTGCAGTTAAGTGTATGTTCTACTGCTATAAATACATCCATGTGATCATCAAAGACTACCTGACACAGGTAGACGTGTGTCACAGGTATAGAGAAATACCTTCCCTCGCGGTGTACACGTTGTCTCACTGACCCCCCCCCCCCCCCCCCCCGTCTTACCGTCGTGGTGCACGTCGTCTTCGTGCAGTCTCCTAAGTCGCCGCGTGTCGCCTTCAGCAGTACGGTAATGAAAATCAGTAAACGGAACGTTTTAAACGCCATCTTGTCGTTGTCTTGTCCCTCTTGCCTATCAAATACCGTGGGATGTTTATCTTATCATATTACTTGGAAATGTTTCATTATCCTAGCGGTTTTATCCGGATACGACCATGCATATCTACAGACATATAGATACAGCTTCTGCCCACGCAAAGTAGTAGTGTAGTTAAATGAAAACTTGACTTGTGTTCATTTCTTTTACTTCTTATTGCCTTTAAAACGATCACACTTTTTGATGCGCAGAATTGTATCGAAATTGCCTGATATTGTCCCCGCGATTGGCCCTAAGACTTCGACGTAACAAGTTTATTTTACAATCATGTATTATTGGTGAGGTGAGGTCTTCCGCGACCCATGCCGCAGCTTAACATGGTTATCCCACTCAGACACAGTATACAGATATCGAGCCGACCAGTCCTTTTTTAGCCCCTGAGCGCCAGACAAGGCACCAACAAGTACCATCTTTTAACGTCTTTTGGTATGAAGCGGCCGGGAACGAACCTCCGACCCTCTACTCTCCCGGCAGAGACTCTATCCACTAGACCACAGATGCTGTTCATTGCATGTTGTAACCCATCCCCGTTTTGGAGCATACATTTGTATACGACATGTATATCTGGAGTTATAGTCTTCGTTGATTTCTAGCCATTGTACAGTCGTATCACGGCGGGTGAAAGTCAGCGTGACCTTCAAGGTTTAGCACTCTTTTTGGCATCCAACAAAGGGCGCGTAACCCTCATCAAACGCACTCAATGGACATTCTAAGTGTGTTATATATTCACTCTCATAAGGATGTAATGTTGGCACAATAAGCCTGCTAGGTGGTGACAACTACATGATAAGAACCATGGCTTTTCCATGGATTCTAATCCACGACTATACTATTTCAGCATGTCGAAGGGATGCAACTCTGTGCAGCGAATTGAGGCGCCTCAGCCAGCTAGGCCACCTGTACGCCTTTGATCCTGTTCGAGCGCCTTTTGACCGCCTCCGTGGTCTAGTGGTACAGCGTCCGCCCGGAGAGCGGAAGGTCCGGGGTTCGATCCCCGGCCGCGTCATACCAAAAGATGTTAAAAGATGGTAATTGTTGTTGTCTGGCGCTCGGCATTTAGGGGCTAAAACAAGGACTGGTCGGCTCGGGGTCAGTATACTGTGTCTGAGTGGGGTATTCATGCTAAACATCGGCATGGTATCTCAGTGTCCTAGCACTATAAATCGGCATCGGTCCGGACTAGCGCGGGCACGCACGCACGCACGCACACATACACACATGCATGAACGTCGCTATATAAGTGCAATAATCTTGAGCGCGACGTTAAACCCAATTTCACCTCACCTCACCTGGGGCGCATTTTGGGGCAGTGACTATTGGATTTTGGCATTTAACGATTGTAAACGGGTTGATTGAGTTAGTGATTATTGTTTTACGTCGTTGTCAGCAATATTACAGCAATATCACGACGGGGGACACCAGAAATGGTTTCACATGTTATACTCATGTGTGGAATCGAACCCGGGCCTTCGGCGTGACGAGCGAAAGATTGTCTATCTTGGCTACCGGCCCAAAAGGTGTGAAGAAAAAGACTCTGAGTAAAAGATTCATCATCTTGATTTAGAAGTAAACAAATGTCACATTTAACTGGCTTCAGATATTCAGTGTATACATGTAGAAAACAGGTGTAACAAATACTTTTACAAAGAAGTGACTCCAGTGTTTTTCTTCACAGTCTATAGGTCAACAAGCAAGGCCAATTATCTGAACGATAACAACGTTGCAGTACGATAACCCGGCCTATGTGAGACACCTCTCACCCGCTGTTGCAGCGTGGTCTGTAATGTGTGAAATGTGTGAAGTGGTACATGTACGTGGTTGGCTTCGGTTACCGTATCTCTCATTCGTCATCACTCGCATGTTTCCGTAATCAACAATCGGCTTGTCCCGCATGGAACGCGTTGGTCACAAATCTCGTGTTCATATGCCAGTATGAATATCTTCGAGAGGGGCACGAGTCGGCATTCGGTTTGTCCCGGAATGGGACGAGTTGGTCACGAATGTTCTCGTGTTCATACGCCAGTATGGAAACCTTTGAGAGGAGCACGAGCCGGCATTCGGCTTGTCACGGAATGGGACGAGTTGGTCACGAATATTCTCGTGTTCATACGCCAGTATGGAAACCTTCGAGAGGAGCACGAGTCGGCATTCGGCTTGTCCCGGAATGGGACGAGTTGGTCACGAATGTTCTCGTGTTCATACGCCAGTATGGAAACCTTCGAGAGGAGCACGAGTCGGCATTCGGCTTGTCCCGGAATGGGACGAGTTGGTCACGAATGCGTATCTCTGTGCTGCTCCCTATGATCGATTTTGACACTGACTTGTCGTTACACAGAGCTGCGGGCTTTTTCATAGTGTTTCCCTAATAGATCCCTGAATCGGAACATACCTCACTAACAACCCTGCCATAATGTACGTAAGTCGTAATCCCACGAGAAACTGCAACATGATTCGCTTCCTGAGATACTTGCCTTCAAATATGTGTACTTGTATTTTCGGACCGCCTCCGTGGTCTAGTCGGGAAGCGGAAGGTCCGGGGTTCGATCCCCGGCCGCGTCATACCAAAAGACGTTAAAAGATGGTACTTGTTGTTACCCTGTCTGGCGCTCAGCATTAAAGGGCTAGAACAAGTACTGGTCGACTCAGAGTCAGTATACTGTTTCTGAGTGGGGTATTAATGTTAAACTGTGGCATGGTATCTCAGTGGGCTAGCACTATAAATCGGCATCTCTGCGGACTAGTATAGCAGCCACACACACACACGTGCATGTACTTCGCTATATAATTGGAATAATCTTGGACGCGACGTTAAACCCCATTTCACCTCATCTCACCACTTGTATTTTCGATTATGCAACTTTCTGTGTACTTTTCGGATTGGAATCATTGAGAGGGTATGGAATTTGACCGGGATTTGGACAGACAAAAGACGCTGTGTTAGACAGGATCTAGATTATTTACATGCCGAAAGAGTGCGACCTTTGTACACTCACTCACTTAATACAGGACAGAACATACGTACAACATAGTAAGATATAACACAGTAACACATAGTACTTCCCTGTGTACTGATGGTCGGCCAGTTTCACGACTTCAGCCGAGTCCGTATCGTCCAGGGCCCTGTTCCACAAAGCGACCTTAGTGCTAAGATAATCGTAACTCTCATACTTTAACATAGGCTTACGACAGTCTTACGTGTCCTGAACGTCCAGGAATCTGTCCACTGCGTCCTCTGACCAGTGTCCATCCCGAGGCCGCTCGGACACTTGATATTGGTTTTTGATATCAACCTACCAGGATCCACTTTCATAACACTTGCGCTACATGATAATAAACTAACCTACACATTTATATTTCGTAAACTTATTATTTAGTTGTTTGTATGGACGTTTAAAGCTATGTTCACCTCATGGGAAACGACATATTGCTGGGTCGCAGGTAGTGTCAATCACTTCAACAGTCTCTTTGGTGTTCATTTCGGCCGTTTGCCTTCATAGGTGCTAATGACGGCCATGAGAATAGTAATTTTGCAGCGCATTATAGAATCCAAAAAGGGACAGTGTCACGTTGTCGCATTGTCGCCCTTACAAAAACAAGCAAAAAGTGTCAAAATTAAAGCGCGACAAGACGATATTTTCCACGGCATATCGTTCCTGTTACAACGAGACCAATATATTTCCTCATTTACCTTAATTGACACACAATATCGAGTTTCGGAATCACATATTCCTAATGACTCAGTCTGATATCTCTCTGTGATTCATGCGCAGTCGCTAAGTGAAAGGCTACTGTCGACAGGCTTCCAGAGAGATAAGCTGCTATCTCCACGGTGAATGAGTGCAGGGGGTGCAAGAAGCACTTGACCAATGCAAGTCAGCTGAAGGCAAGAGCGCAACACTGCACGTATAAACAACATTAACAAACCCACACGTTTGCTACGAAAGGACTCACAAAGGGTATAATATGCTATAAGTGGACACTCATCAACAGGATCTGATCTTGCACAATGACGCATACAAGGTCAGTGTGACCAGTTTAATAATGTCACAATGATGCACACAATTGTTTTAGGTTATTTAACATATGCCAAGCAGTTTATTTAGACGCCCACACGGCCCCTCTGACTCCAATCAGATAACTCTGACGTCAACCATTTCCCTCTGACGTCAACAAGTCCCCTCTAACGCCGATCTATCCCCTCAAACGCCAACTTGTCCCCTCTAATGCCAAAATTGTCCCCTCTAATGCCAAGCAGGTCCCTCTGATGCCAAGCAGATCCCCTGATGCCAAGCAGGTCCCTCTGATGCCAAGCAGATCCCCCAGATGTCAAGCAGATCCCCCGGGTGCCAAGTAAACCCCTGATGCCAAATAAACCCCTGATGCCAAGCAGATCCCTCTGATGCCAAGCAGATCCCCAAGATGCCAAGCAGATCCCCTGATGCCAAGCAGATCCCCCTGATGCCAAGTAAACCCCTGATGGGGTTGCTGACCCCCTTGGTGCCAAGCAGATCCCTCTGATGTCAAGCAGATCCCCTGATGCCAAGCAGATTCCCCGTTGCCAAGCAGTTCCCCCTGGTGCCAAGCAGATCCCCCTGATGCCAAGCAGATCCATCTGTTGCCAAGCTGATCCCCCTGGAACCAAGCAGATCCCCTGATGCCAAGCAGATCCCCTGATGCCAAGCAGATCCATCTGTTGCCAAGCAGATCCCCAAGATGCCAAGCAGATCCCCTGATGCCAAGCAGATCCCCCTGATGCCAAGTAAACCCCTGATGCCAAGCTGACCCCCCTGGTGCCAAGCAGATCCCTCTGATGTCAAGCAGATCCCCTGATGCCAAGCAGATTCCCCGTTGCAAAGCAGATCCCCCTGGTGCCAAGCAGATCCCCCTGATTCCAAGCAGATCCATCTGTTGCCAAGCTGATCCCCCTGAAACCAAGCAGATCCCCTGATGCCAAGCAGATACCCATGATGCCAAGCAGATC